GTCGATCTCAGTCCTCGGGGGAGGCTTTGCCCTGTAGGAGGTGGGAATGGGGGGTGTGCTGGGGGGAAGGGGAGGGGGGCAGGAAGCGGGAGAACAAGGGAATCCGTGGCTGATATGTAGAACCGAATGGTATTGTAAAATAAAACACACATACACACACACACACACACACACGCGCGCGCACACACGCACACACGCACACCCAACAGCTCCAAAGCCATTTAATATACTTGTTTACCTTCATGTATAAATACTGTATCACATGATTTTGTTCCTTCCCTTTCTTCCTTCCAACCCTTTGTTTGTACTCCCTCTCAAATTCATGACTGTTTGTCCTCAATTATTATTGTTACATATATATATATATATATATATATATATATATATATATATATATATGAATATTAAATATTACAACCTGCTGAGTCCATTTAGTTCCAGAAACCATTTTCTCACTGGTCCTGTCCTTGGAGGCTAGCATCTGTATACTCATATGCATCTAAGTCTACATTGTAGTGTTCTTCTGTTTTTCTTGAGACAGAATTTCTGTCACTATATAGCCCAGGCTGGCCTGAAATTTATGACCTCTGTGTTCAATAGTACTAGGATTATAAGGATGTCTGCAGGCATGGCACAATGATGTCTTCTTGTAGCAGAGCTCAGCTTCCTTTTCCAACAAAATCTTCTCTTTACTCATATCCACTTTCTCCATTCCCACATTCCCTATCAAACTTCTCAGAATGGAAGTTTTCACAGAGAAGGTCCTGACTCATTTTTTGGAGTTCTGCACGTTTTTGTTGTGAATTGTTATCTCCAAATGGTTCTGAGTTCTCCCTCTACACACCATCCCAGGTAAATGTGGTCATTAACTCTCTTGCAATATCTTTATTTACCTGATGGAATCTAACCACAGAGGGCATGTTACTAAGTTCTTCCATTTTTAAAAATCTTCATCTTTTTGACCAGATCCAGTGGGTCACATTACTCAATATATCTAGAATCTTTTCCCTTCAATTGCTCTAGTTCTGACAGGCCCACTATTCACCACACTATACATCACCTTCACTGGCATATATTTAAATGATTAAGTCCCTGCCCAAAAGGTGCAAAAAATAAACAAAAGCAATGCTGGACCCTGTTGTGAATGATGTCCCACCTACTGCAGCCACTTTTGTCATGTTAGTACTGTTCAAACTGCTTGTCAATGTCATTATCTTTAAACAATGTCTGCTCTTGATAGTATCAAAACACCACTGTTAAATGTGTCTGTCACCATAAGGTACAGCCTGAAGGATACTCCATGCCACAGTTTCCATCCTTAAGGGACTAGAGTCATAACCTAGTGGTAGAGCACTTGCCCGGCATGGCATGAGACCCTGCATTTGATAGCCAGCACTACACAGACCCAAAGAACCTCAGCCGTTGAGTTACATTTGGGCTGTTCTTGAACTTTTCTAGAGGCACCGGGTGTTTAGGAATAGGCGGTTTATGAGGAGAGGCATTCTAAGCCAGACCTGTCAATTGTGAACTCAGAACTTTCCGCCACTGCTTTCCTAGGAAACTGATCAGAATGATTTGCCAATCTAAGAGCCAGGAGTTTCTGGATTTATGCACTGAGTTGGCTGTTACTTAAACACCTTTCATGACGTTCCTTCCATCAGCTCTATCTGCTGATGTGATGGAAATCAGTGCCTAGTACTGATGGGATCCACCTGTCTAAGGTGAGATTTTTTGTCATATAAATTCTTTATCTCCAAGGAAATCTTTAGCACAATATGTGTTTCTCAATAATTCCAGTAGATATTTTGGAAGAATTGAAGCCTTACAGTGGCAATGATGAGGGACAATTAATGTTTGAATTACAATGTGTATTTGCATTAGAAAACTTGAAATAAGATCAAATATCATGGACATGTTTTGATTTTTACTAGGAAAAGTATTTTCATAACTGAATGAGAAATTAATTTGCTTAATATGTTTCATTCATTATTTGTTGAGTTTATGATCTTCCATTTTACTTCCTTCATTTTTTTCAGCAATTTCTAGCCCTTTAGACTCTGTGGGATCTGCATATATCCACTAAATTATAGAAAAAAGGCTGAAAAAATATTTTGTGTTCCCATTTGTCTTTCAGATTCAGTCAAATTTCCTATATTTTAGAATGGATACAGGTAATTTTAGTACTTTTAGAAAATCTGTGGTAAAATCCTGAGGACATTGTTAGATATTTCTGTCTTGTTTTCCTGGACAAATTGTATTCTCAAGAAGAGGTCCAAAAGTTCTATAGGATCATGGGAGAAGAAACGTGCAGGCTGGACCAAGGTTGGCAGATGGAAGGCAAGGCTGGCTTGAAAGAATTTATGAGAGTTTCCAGAAATCAGGAGAGAGAGAGAGAGTGTGTGTGTGCTGGTTTTAATGGAATGACAAGGAAGTAAAAAAAAAAATCCAGTAAGATAATCCATCTACTTCAAACCATCCTATCAAAATGAATGAAATCAAAACAAAACAACAGACATCCAACAAGACAATGGGAAACAAAGGACCAAAGGTATTGAAGCTCAGGGTTAATTTCTAGTCATACTGGGTTTCAACAGGAATCTTTTTTCCTTTTCTTTTTTTTCCACTTCTAAATGATGAGCACATGATTATACTTTCCAAAGAATTTTTTCAAACATTCTCTACTATGAAGTCATCATGTAAGCATGAGAAAACACTTAAAAATTATCTGAGCTATTTTCTATTTACTCAGAAACTAGATTCTCTAAATCATATTTAAAACTCAGTTTAAGTTTTGCATTTATTGTCATGACAATCTCTTCTGATGACAGATTAACCATAGAATTTTAAAACTTGAATAATAGGACATTTAGAAATAACTAACAATTATGTGGCTTCATTCCTCTCAGTATAGAATATACATGTAGAATTAATGGCAGGATTTTCAGAAGAAAGAGTATAAATTCTTTCTTATCAAATGCAACTGTTCAAGCATTTATCAGTTGAGCGGAGCTCTAAGGATAGAGGTAGTATAAACAATTAAGCCCTTTAATTCTCAGCTGCTACTGATTAATTAGGATATGCACATGTAAAACTCTGAATTAATACAGTTAAGAAAAGACTCAGTTGTTATTAATTTATACTTTAAATTTATGGAACTTCATCATTCAATAAATGAACTGAAGCTCCTAGTCCATTATGATAAATTTGATTTTTTTAGACTTTGGTATTTATGATTATACTACAAAAAAAATGTAAAGTAGATAAGCAGGTGATTTTTCTACTCAATTATCAAACTAAAAATATTTATACACAGTACATATGAATTTGTGAGTTAGCAATACAAATACATTCAAGGACTTAATTGTTGCATACTTGCTCATGCCTCCAGACTCACACTAGGACAGAGATAGGCATGACTACTGACTTCAAACAAATAGTGTCCACTCTTTCTAGGAAGCTTAAGGAGAAATTCATAATTTGTCCAAGAAAGAACTATCTTCTTTCTTTAGTTTCTTTTTTTCTTTTCTAGTTTTTGGTTCAACATCCTCTCCCCTGGTGGAATTATTTCCACAGGCAGGCATTGTTTTATATTCCATTCATTTCTGTCTTTTGAGACTAGTGTGTTGTTTTCATTTCAGGATGCCTTTGAGTCATAAAACAGCAAGGAAACACTTATTCATTCTTCATTATTTGTGTTTGATATTGTCTGCATTTGGTTTCATAATTTGTATACTTTCCTGAAGATGAGGACATGAAATGAGGACATAGAAAGCGATTTCTTCATTGTCTAACTAGATATGAAACAAGAATGCTTTTCTGGCCACTCAGTGGTCTCTGTCCATGTAGGTACCATGGGAACAATTTGGATGGTAGTCTTGATTAACTCACTTTTTTAGGTAAGAAAGATAACTGGTCTACTACTTATTATCTTTCTATTGTGTCAGAGGAAGTATGTCACAGTGGCAAAGACCATCATCGCTATCATTTAGGTGTGTGTTCTTCTACTGACTCTTCTAAAAAAAAAGAAAAGAAAAAGAAAGAAAAAACCCAAGAAAGAGACTCACATCAGATGAAAATATTCCACGACAGACCTGTTTCACACGCAGCCAGAGCTGGGATGGTGACACAAAACTTGTAAAGATCCTCCATGATTGTTCTTATTGCTCTGGCTTTTTCTCAGTTTACATTTGAGGCAATGTGAGCTTTATAGGAGATTCTAATTTTGAAAGGATGAGAAAGACATGGAAACCCTATAATTAGTTCCCCCCTTCTCATGTAAATTCTTTATTATCAAAAGATAAAAGCATATTTGGAATGAGAAATGCGTGTAATTCAGTTCTTAGCTTTTAAAATACGTCATGTAACCATGCAAAGGCCCAAACCAAAATGCTCAAATGGGAGATACAGAGGGCACAGTAAGGGAAAATAGGTTTGAACAGTTTAAACGCTTATGTAAAATTTGATGTTTTACATAACTTCAATGAACTGACAAAGTCTTCTGGGAAAAACAGCACCAGATGGCAAACACAATCAATGGATTTGGTCAAACAACTTTATGGCAAAGATTGTATCATTTTGTAATTGGGAAGGAACAAATGAAATGCGAGCTGAGTCTGGTTAATGATCTGCAGTTATTGGTTAAAGAAGTATATTAGAGTAGGTTTCCCTCCACCCATCTCATCTTTCCTATCAACCCCACAAGCCTCTGCCACAATGAAGTGGGTGACCTTCCTCTTCCTCCTCTTTGTCTGTTGCTCTGCTTTTTCCAGGGGTGTGTTTCGCCGAGATGCACGTAAGAATTTTATGTTTTCACTGCTCCACTTTTATCTTACTTTCCTAAAAATGGAAGCCCTGCATTTTGAAAGAGTTATTTCTAGACTTTGATGCTATTTTGCATCTGAGAACCCTTGTATGGTTATATTATTAATATACTTTAGACATCTTAGGTGATAATAATTTGAGGATTTTTTAAAGTTTAGTTTTATATTTCTTTTAATTTTGAAGACATGCTAGGCAGAGTGACTTAAGCTATATTGTATATAGCTGAAGCCAGAATCTTCAAAGTCTCGAAGGCTTGTTTACTATACCATGCTATACTAAACAATAAACATGTGTGTTGTTAATTTTATAAATGGAGCTTCCATTTGTATTTACTTTCACTTCAGATTGTCTTAGTAGTTACTTAGAGACATGATAAAAGCATTGACTCTTAAGTTTGAATGCAAAGCTATAAACACTTAGATGGTTTTAAAGTAGTATTCATGGAAAGGGTAGTTCTTTAGATGCAGAAGGAAGGAGTCATTGGCAGATTCATTTTATTTTTTGTAGAGATCAGAGGCCAGTGTCATGAAGTAAAGGAATAGCTTAAGTGTGTAGAAAGAAGTATGAAAAGCAGCATTATAATTAGCTATTGTCATCAATCTTTAAATATGTTTTGTGGTTTTTGTCTCCCTGTTCCCACAGACAAGAGTGAGATTGCTCATCGGTTTAATGATTTGGGAGAACAACATTTCAAAGACCTGTAAGTTAAAATGTTGAAAGTCAATTTAATGTTTCTGGTAGTATTAGTTCCAGTTATCAATTGCCCCCTTTCCCACCTTGAGCATGCAAAATTGGAGGTCATGACTGTCCAACAGAAATATCTCTGTTGGTGGAAAAACTGCTGACCTCTAAGAGCATATGGCAAGCAGAGGACACATGGTTATTGGGCACTTGAAACTTGGCAATTCTAAGTGAGGAGCACATATTCAAATTATATTTAACTTATTTAAATATATCTATCCACTTGTGGCTAATGGCTGCTTTAGTGGAGAATGTGATTCTGGAGCCCACATTAAACTAGTGAAGAATGGGATCTTAGTTTTCTTACTGAAAAGGTCTATGATATATAGCTCTTTGAGAGGCTAACTTGCTAATTCTTCTTTACACAACAATTTCTCATGGTATCTTGAAATGATTATTTTGTCTTTGTAGTACTGGGGACTCATACCTGTGAAGCAAGTGATCTATAATTAAGTCACATCCCCAACCTCAAAAATGTTTTAATATGGTGAAAATGAGAAGTTTATATTTAAATGTTCAATAGTGTCATATACCCCTGATTAACAGAGGTATATGGATTAGAAGAGAAAAAACTCAAAGGACTTTCATGATGTCTAGCCTTGACAATGAAATGTATTTAGAACATAGTTTGCTGGTTTGCCCCATGTTCATAAATCTAACTACACACCTATGTGTCTATACTTAAGCATGGTAGGAATCCATGTTCTTTTTGCTTGGAAAGGCACCTCTTCCTGGTTATGTCTCAGAGAACAGCTGACAGGAATAGGCTTTCGAGATAGTTATAAGAAAGATAGACAAAATATAGATGGTATACATGTACACAATTTGCTGTTTAGGAAAGCCAGCTACTTCGTAGTAAAGTTTTATTTCTATGTCTGTTTTCCAGAGTTCTGGTCATCTTTTCCCAGCATCTCCAGAAATGCCCATATGAAGAACATGTGAAATTAGTGAATGAAATAACTGAATTTGCAAAAACCTGTGTTGCTGACGAGTCTGCTGCAAACTGTGACAAATCAATTGTCAGTACATTCTGATTTTGAGGATCCCTTTGCCTCTTCTATATAATTCTGAGTATTTCAAAGGAAAACAAATACTTTCTCCCATACCTAAGGCCCAGGGGACATTGTGGAAGAGGGGCCAGAATGATTGTTAGAGCCAGAGGAACAGGGATTTTGCTATGAGATTGTCTCCTAGCAATGTCACAAGCTCCTAAAAAGTCTCACCAACATGACTGGCCAAATGTGAGCTTAAGAGTGACAACACAACAGACATGCCAGGGTGGATGAAAGACCCCAAGGCCTCAACCTATACAAAGAACTTCAGGCAAACAAGGATGCTCAGAGAGGGAGAAATTGGCTTCTGCAGGGAAGAGAGAACCAATTGGTTACTTCAATACCAACGGTCAGCCCTGAAAACATGCATCTGAGTAACATTATACAGACCAACAGGCTATATTTAGGAATATATATGTGTATATTACACATATATGTATGAAACAACAATTAATGAGAAATGAAGTCATAGATCTGAAAGAGAAAAAGGGGCATATGTGGGTGGATTTGGAGGGAGAAAAGGGAAGGAGGAAATGATGTAATTATATAGTAATCTCAAAAAATAAAAGGAGTGATAAAAGGTTATTAAATGATCAAAATTGCAAGCAAATGGACACATTCTATCTATTCTCACAACTTATAAAAATTCTTGGAGGCTACAGATAGAAGTTACAATAATGTTAATGGCAATTTGTTATTTGTACAATTTCTTTTCAAACTCTAAAATCTGATTTCTGTTCACAGAGGCAAATAGTAATAGCATGCTTTCATGTAATGATTAATTTTTTTGTGGTTAGCACCTTCTACTCTCTTACTATAGTTGACAATAACTACAATACCACCAAGCTTATCTTGGAATTTGTCTTGCTTAACTGAGAGGCTATGCGAGATGATCAGTAACTGAGTTCCTCTTCTCTCTGTCAGCCATCACACCTCTTTTAGATTTTGTGAATTGCACTATTTTAGTTATCTCTTTTTGTTTGTTTGTTTGTTTTTGGACACAGGGCTTCTAGGTGTAGCTTTGGCACCTTTCCTGGAACTTGCCTTGTAGACCAGGGTGGCCTCCAATTCACATAGATACTCCTGACTCTCCCTTCCGAGGGCTGGGATTAAAGGCGTGTGCCACCATCGCTAGGCCTTATTTTAGGTATGTTATCTGAGTAGAACCACACAGAATGTGTCTTTCTGTGACTGGTTTATTGCACTTACCAATATGTCCTCCAGGTTGGCCCATGTTGGTGCCAGTTGCAGAACGTTCCTCTTCTAAGGGTTAGAGTAATCCCTAGTGTGTATTCATCACACTATTACCTGTCCATCCACATTTTCTTTATCCTTTCATCTGATGGTGGCTATTTAGGCTGTTTACACATTTTGATTATTACAGGCAATGCTACAGTAGCCTACGAGGGTTGATGTTTTCTTGACATAATGCTACTGTGCTAATCTTCTGAATGCATCAGCTAATTTCTATGCTATTTTGTTACTTAGAAAAAATTATATTATATCTTTATTTCTGTTTTAGTGACATAAATATTTTAGACACAACTAAAAAGCGGGGCTTTCAGGCATTTAGAAGAAGTTGTGCTATTTATGGGTAGGGATTTAAAACCTGAGGCATGAGCTTCTCTGACTGCTTAATATATGGGCGAAGCCATTTCTTAAATTAATCTCTAGGCCCTTTCTTTTTGCTTTTCCTGGAAAAATTTCTGCTGGAAACCTTTTCCTCTATTTGCAGAGTTAGTGATTCACACAAAATATTATAGTTCTACCTTAATTTTCATAAAAGTACATTTTTGAAAGTTAATAATTTCTGTTTAGATAAGTAAAATTTCCATGAAGTTAAATTATTTTTGTAATAAAAGTTAATGAGGAAGGGAAGGATTATTTGACAAATGAAGTCCTTTGGAGTGGCATTGTTTCTAGAATAAAAGGGCAATCTGTATTTCAATGCAGTAATTATTTATAGTAGATTGTGTTATTCCTCAGTTTGACAGGAAATCTACTAAAACCTTGGGCTTCTTCAAAAGGAGCAGATCACATGAGAAGTTGTGTGAACATGTTGCTCCTGAGCATGAATTCACATGCTTCATCAAGTCCTAGCTTCCCTTGATTTTTTTATTATAGTGACTTCACTCCTAGCTTTTAGTTCCATATAGAAAACATGTAAGGCAACATTCCTTAAGGCCATTAGCTATTTGCTTCTCTGTTTTATTCACCATACACAATACTGTGGCACTTGGCTATTATAAAAATTATCAAAAAATAGATGAATCAAAGGAAAGCAAATGAATTTTTATGTGATTTTCTTTTGCTTCACAGTTAAAATATTATATGATTCACAAATATTTATACTTAAATTTATTTTAAGTAGTACATTAAGCCATAAAATTGTATTTACTTCAAAGTGTCATGTGATGTTTCAATATCATGCACATATCATCTATATACCTATAGACAAGGCATTTAGTTTCTTAATCAAGTTTTATCTGCACATTCAGTTTTTTTACATTACTTGCTGGTTATAGAGAAAGTCAGGTACTGGCAGGAATTTGACACCTTCTGTTTCCAATTTAGCAAACTCTTTTGGGAGACAAGTTATGTTCCATTCCAAGTCTTTGTGAAAACTATGGTGAACTGGCTGACTGCTGTACGAAACAAGAACCGGAAAGAAACGAATGTTTCTTGCAACACAAGGATGACAACCCCAACCTGCCCCCACTTGTGAAGCCAGATGCTGAGACCATGTGCACCTCCTTTCAGGAAAATACTGCTGCATTTATAGGACAGTAAGTAAGCAGATATCTATGTTTTAAATTAAAAACTGAGCAATAGCTCTGCCAGGAACACTTACGCTAGTAGTCATAAAAAACTCAAACACATATGTGAATTTTTGAACGCAGATACACAAATTTAACCTACCTTCTTTCTCTTGAGAAGAACAGAGACAGACCATCACTCATGGCCACAATAAGTAAACTTGGTCAATTATAAATCTTTGGGTTTGGGTTGAGTGATCATTTCTGTAGTGTTATGTACTGAGGGAAATGATTGCCTGCTTTCTCCTTTTTTCACAACTCAGCTATTTGCACGAAGTTGGCAGAAGACACCCTTACTTCTATGGCCCAGCACTCCTTTTCTTAGCTGAGAAGTACAGTGCCATCATGACTGAATGCTGTGCAGAAGCTGACAAAGCTGCCTGCTTGACGCCAATGGTGACCCCTGGGAAGATGGGGACAGAACTGCTCTGTATACCAAACCCAGAGATTTGACAGTCTTACGGTTGACTTAGGAAATCTGAATCTCTGAATGAGACTTCTCTATGTCATTAGAAAACCTTCTTCCCTCATATGTTACCAATGGGTTTAGTTCTAATACCTTTCTTCCTTCTAAGATTTAGCAGTGATGGTCTGGAGAGGGAATTCTTGGATGTGTGTTTACTTGTCTTCCAATTCTTTATGGTGGTGACTTCTGGAGTATAATAGCGTTTGTCACACTGGACAGCAAGAGCTAGTTTGTTTGTTTTTTGCTTTTTATTTTTTAGTCCTTCCTTGAGACATTTTAATGGTGAAGGAATTCAAAGCTGTGAATTTTACTGAGGCTAGATGTTGGAATCCATTCATTTTGTCTATACATATTTATTATGCAAATTATTTGTTTTTCTTAGGCTCTCACTCATTTTATGAAAGATGATGAAGTAGGAACTGAGATGAATTAGTCACACAACTAAAAAGTCATATCCAGGGCCCTTCCCCTGGCAATGTCTCTATGCTGCTTTCTAAGTACCTAGCAGACTCCACTATGCCCATACTGATTTTCATTCTATTAGGTATCAAAATAATCATTTGTCAAAAGAGAGTACATGTGAATTCAGGTGTAAATTATCTTTTAAATTTTTCATTTGGATGAAAGGTGCAACTCAATAGCATAGCTCTGGCCAAACATGCAGAAGGTCCTGATTTCAACTCCCAACACAACAAATTATCTTGGCATTGGGCTGTCTGAACTTTTGAAGGTGTGTGTATGTGTGTGTGTATGTGTGTGTGTGTGTGTGTGTGTGTGTGTGTGTGTGTGTGTGTGTGTGTGTGTTGAAATGTCTTTTCAAACTGGATTTCTTCTTCTAGCTTGATGCTCTGATGGAGAAAGTGTTATATTCCTCTGTGCACCACAGACTGAAGTGCTCCAGTATTCAGAGATATGGAGAGAGAGCTTTCAAAGCATGGTACATATTTTTTTATATCACAATTCACGTCTTGATAATGATATTGTCCAATCTAAAGATTGTGCATTTATAAAGTACATCTTGAGAAGTTGATAGAGGTGAAATCAGAAAAACGGTAATAATTTGAAAATTTGTCTCAGTGTTTTTGTTTTAAATTGTGAAAGAACGTAAAAGACTTGATTTTGTCTAACAGAAGACAGGCATTTAGATCCCATTGTTTATAAAGACCAGAAATCTCATTTTTAATAATTAAAAAATACAGTCACTGTCGGAGTAATTAATTTACTTAATTTATTTTCCCTCGATCTGAAATGACTCTTGAATGTATGGATAATTGAACTTAGCCATCAACCAAGTTGGAGTTATTACTTTGACTTTTCTTACAACTCCAATTCTGTCCCTAATGTCATGTGTTTGCTCCACCCTCTCTTGCTTTTATGTTATGTAGCTGTGTCTGGGAGCATCCTTTAATATATAAGTCAAGAATAATGTGCCTGCCCCTCTAGTACCTCTCCTGTTTGTCAATAATGAATCAACACAACAGGAGAAAAAATGGAGATGACAGACACTGTGCATGTTCTCTAGAGACTGTCAGCAGGAATTACCCTCACTGATTCATCCTTATTTTCCAAATTCTTAAAGCCAATCAGATCAATAAATATAGCAACTCCAAGATGAAACAACACACTGTTACATGGGCTATGGCTGGTTCTTACAAAGACAAGATAGCTTTATTAGAGCTATAGAACTGAAAATTACTTTTGAAATAGCGAAGATCTTGGCTTTTGACATCTTGCCATAGAGCTTAGAGGCTCTCTGCTGGAACAATTTCTTGGCAGAAGGATTCATAATTTAAAAAAAACTCTCTAATTCTCCAGAAGTTTGGGAATTTTTCCCTCCACAGACCTTTAGAATTCAGAAAATTTAAAATTAAAGGCACACACGTTTAATGCCAGAACTCGGAAGCCAGAGGCAGGTGGATCTCTGTGAGTTAGAGGCCAGCCAGTGCTACAGGAAAGGCTCCAAAGCTACACAGAGAAAGCCTGTCTCAACCCACCCCCACCCCCCAAAAAAAGAAAAAAAAAACATTTCAAGAAGGTATGTCTTAATTAAGACAAAAGTTGATGAGTCTTCATTTCGAGATAAGAAAACACTTTCATGTCATGATATAATTTAAACTCATGGATCCTTCGATTTAGTGTGTTGTAACAGTATAAAATCTAAAGCCTGCTTGAGGTCACATTGCTAAGATGAGACCAAGCCAGAGACAGAAGCCAGGTGAGGACACAAAACTGATGCCCCTGGACTGCCACCTCTTTAGGAATTGCTCTTTGGTTTTAATTTTATGAGGCATTTGCTTTCCACGCACCACCCACATTCTTTCAGTAGATTCTGCCAAAGGAAAACATAATTATTGTGTCACAACTAGCATTCTAGTAAAGCTAGTTGTTGTAACTAGTGAATTTTTATAATTTTCTTCATGTCAGTTAGTTTTGAACTTCCTTGTTATAAATGGTATCTTCTCACTGCTTTCTTACAAATAAAATATGATAATAAATCTTTGATGGCAAATTTTCTTTTTAGGATGGTAGTTTCTACAAGCCAGAAATTCCCCAATGCTGACTTCACAGAAAATAGCAAATTGGCAACAGACATTACCAAAATCACCAAGGAGTGCTGCCATGGCGACCTGCTTGCATGCGCAGATGACAGGGTAAAGAGTTGTTGCATGTTCACGGTCAGTGAGTGGATGTGTTTGCCTGCATCGGTGAACACTGATGGTGGTTGACATGGTCTCTGGGCTCTCCTTTATTCTACCAAGTTTCCTTGCTTTGTGGCACTTTCCAGAAACAAACAAACAAATAAGCAACCAGAACAAAACAGAACAGTTTTCTGAATTGTTACATGACCCAAAACTCCTCTGTTCAGCCACATTCTGAGGAGGCTTAAATAGAAAGAGAACAGTTACACATGTAGATTTCTAAGATGTTTTGGGAAGAGAAGCGGGGCTGGAGACCTCACAGATTGGAGAGGCTTTTAAAGAATGACGCCCTAATCCCTCCATAGTCTTTCCCCTAATTAACTGTGTGAAGTTCATAAACATTTGCTGTGACCTCAGTTTCTCCAAAGTTGTACTATTATCTCCTTCACTTCCCCCTTCAAGAGATTAAAAATACAATCCCATCTTCTTCTGCTATGATAACCCTGGAAAACCTAAGATCCATATGTTAGGTATGTAAGCAGGGCCTGTAACTCTGCTCATTACTCATTATTTAATTATGCCTCATATTTTAATGAGTTATTTAGTTTTAAAATACATAACTTGATTTTGGAGGAATACTTGGAAAAATAGCACTAAATTTTATGGAAAAAACAACCTGAAGTCTCTCAGTCATATAAACATAAAGTTAATAAACAATCAAAGCAAATTAATTTAAATAAATAACTTGATTCTGAACAGTCTCTTTGAATCTATTTGTTTTAGTCACAGCATCTTGAGTCTGCAGGCTCTGAAGCACTGTGTGGGTGAGAATGTGTTGCAGAAGCTACTTTGGTGGTGTATGGTTTGGAGTAGGATGAATATGCTTTATCCATGTAACAGAGGTGTGCGGGGGAATATGTATCAAAGATGACTTCTCTTAAACATTTCTTTTCTCACAGGCGGAGCTTGCCAAGTACATATGTGCAAACCAAGCATCTATCTCTAGCAAACTGCAGGCTTGCTGTGACAAACCAGTGTTACAGAAATCCCACTGCCTTGCTAAAGCAGAACATAATGACATGCCTGTTGATCTGCCTTCATTAGCTGATGATTTTGATGGTGGTCAAGTGTGCACCAACTATGTTGCAGCCAAAGATATCTTCCTGAGCAAGTGAGGAGATGCCTTTCCTTCTTTTATAGTTTTTTTTTTTTTATACAGGGTCTCACTGTGTAGCTCTGACTGTCCTAGAACTCTTACTATGTTTACCAGGCTGGGATTAAAAGCGTGTGCCACCATGTCTGGCTCCTTTCATAGTTTTGGCAGAGCTGAATAAATTAAGAAACCTCACCAGGCTGTCTTTGGAGTTACCATGACTTCTGTGCCTCTCAGTAAGATATTCACCCTTTTCATTCTCAGCCTTTACAATTTACCTGAAAAGTATGTTAAGTAATTTAAAATATTGTTATGAAATCATCCATGCATTTAGCACAAACTCAATGTTCCTTACTTCATATGGATATTTCTGGAAATCTTTGCAAATATTCCATTAATATATAAATTTTATGTATCATTCAATCATTTTTATGACTATATTTCTTAAATATCTAATGCATTTGAACATATTATGTATTATTTACTATCTCCTTACCTGTCCACCTGTATCTATCCATCTCTGCGATGACAGGAAGGATATAAATCTATATATATATATGTGTGTGTTTGTATTCATATATAATATATATATATATACTAGTGTCATATTGATGTATATATGTATATGTGTGTTTTAAGTAAATAAATATCAATATGAAAATATTTGTTTGGTATTTGGTTGAAAAGCTTAGAATGTCACAGTGTGGCAAGGCAGGATACAATTAATAACAAAGGACTATATGTTTTCAGTAATTGCAACAATATATTTTATCTTTTTATTAGGTTATGATTGTACTGTATGCACTAAATAGTACTTAATGAAAGATTTTACTCATACGTAGAAGAGAAAGAAACTTTTAGTATGTCTCTACTCATTTGTTGAGATACTTTGGAGACATAAATCAAAGCAAACTAGATATACAGTAAAAATAACTATGAATCAAGCATTTAACATGCACCAGTCTCTGTGTGCTTTGACAGTGTGTCATGTATTTATCCCAACCCACCTTGTTAGAACGATGCTATCCTTCTTTCCCTTCTATATGGAGGAGGTTAATGCCCTGATAGTGTTAATAAGTTGCCCCTGCAGAACAGTAAAATACAGTGTGTTGGGAAAGCTGAACCTGGGAAGAGTTATCTCTGAGTTCCAAGTTCTTGCTGCTTAGTTTTCTTCATGGAGCTCATTCCAACGCGGGACACTTGGAATGTGAATCACTATTGAGATTACTTACGTGAGTCTATTACTTGCTCATCTATTTAACTCAGTGTATGTTCATCTTCATTAGGTTTTTGTATGAATATTCAAGAAGGCACCCTGACTTCTCTGTTGCCTTGTTGCTGAGAATCGCTAAGAAATATGAAGCCACACTGGAAAAGTGCTGCACTGAATCTGATCCTGCCATATCATGTGGCAGTGTGGTAGGTTTCCATAGGCCAAGAGCACAGCAGCTCCTGGCAGCACTTCCTGTAAGGAGAAAGGAAGCGATGCACTAATGAGAATTGACATATGGGTCAATTCAGATATTCTCTTGAGATGTAGGGAAGCCTGAGCTCTAAAGTTATCAGTCATTATAGGATCAACACTGGATAAAATGTAAGGAAACCTCAAATAATCACTCTAGAATGGGAAGGTGTGAAGAAAGGAAGGAATCTTAACTTGCACAAAATCTTTACAATCGTTTTTCTTTTTTCATACTCTTGAGAATAAAATAGAGTAAATTCAAATGCCAACTAAAGGAGATTTAACTTTGATTAAAGACACTTAACCCAATTAAAAAAAAGAAAAAGACATTTACTAATTTTAAATACTTTACATTGGATTGGATTGTTTTATATTGTATACAAAATATATATATTGAAATTGATATTGTTAGGAAATGATATATATATATTTCCAATTGTACTTATACCATTCATTTAACAATGTAATGCAATTCTCTGATCCTTGAAAGTTATTATTACCAACTATTAGGATATAAAGAAATGAAAGTTAGTATTTAGACATTATAATTGAACTTGTAGTCATATTAGTTATGTTTTCAAGATTGAGCAGAAATATTTTAGATAGACAGGTCATCTTCAAACCCTTCAGAGATCTAAAGAATATGGCATTTATAATGTTTTAATAACTTAGAGAATTTTTCTTTTTTGTTATGACTATGAGACATGTCGGCTCCTGACAGTACCAATTTACTTCAGAGAAAATATGGGCATTGACAAAACTGCAATTGGAGTTAACTTTCATTGTGGCAAAAGTTAGCCACTGGACAACAAAGTAACCTCGAATCAACTGCTGACAAACAGGACAGACAGGACATGAAACAAAGGACTACCGATTCTTGCCAAAACAAGTGTGGGTATGGCCTTATCAAAAGGCATCTTCTGAGGCCAGGACAATATGGCACCATCCCTGAAGTGACCTTCACAATCTGGAAAAAGTACAGTGCACTTTTCTTCAAAGGCAGCTGAACAGCCAGTGGGCTGATGGCTTCTGATGTGCAGTGGAACAACAGCTGAAACAATTATTCTTGAAGAGTAACTAAACTCACACCTCTCAATAGTAGACTGGCATTTAGTAGAAGGGTATGGAGAAGAACAGGATGCTGAGATGAAGCAACACACACACATAGCCAAGAAGAATGGACAGCTGAATTTAAAAAAAAAAATCAACAATTTCCAGAATTTAAAATCCTGAATCAGGACAGAACACTAGTGGAATTCAGGTGTTTCTAATACATGGACTGCTTTCACCCATTGTGAGGTGTTGATGTAATCAACAGTCTTATTAAATAAGAAACACAGAAACAATGTAAAAGAGAAAGCCGAGAGGTCAGAGCTCAGAGCTAAAATCCCACCCTTCCGCCTGCGGTGTCCCAGCTTCCCGAAAGAGACCTATTTCCTGTCTGTTTGTCTATTTATAGTATTTTGTTCTGCCTTCCCATTGGTTATAAACCCAAACACGTGACTGCCTCGTCACTGTCTGAATGTACAGCCCCCTAGGTCTTAAAGGCATATGTCTCCAATGCTGGCTGTATCCCTGAACACACAGAG